TAGGGTAGAAGCTGGCACCTCTAGAGACCCCCTTCCTCGCGGTTGGGAGCCCGCGTACTCTGCAGCCCTCCCGACCGGCTCGCCCCCCGCCCCCCCAAAACCACACTCGCACAGACACACACAGCCGGCGCCCCCTCCTGGCCTCCTCCGCGCTCCTCCCCCGGCCCTGCCCGCCCCGCCCGTGAGCTCCAGGGGGAAAGCGGACCCGCTAGGGTAGAAGCTGGCACCTCTAGAGACCCCCTTTCGGGCTGTGGGGAGGTCGCCGAAAGACAAGGCACCGAGTGCCGACCGTTTATCGGGGTGTCTTTCCCTCAAGGAGGAGGGAAGGCGAGCGCACCGCTGAGCCAGGGAGGCGGCTCCCGCACTGCCTCCGGGTCTGCAGTGGAAAGGCCTCGTGGGCGCAGTCAGGTTTGAGGGGGACTTTTGTGTTCAGTTTTGCCGAAGACGCTGCTAAGTGAAAGATGCAAAAGAAAGGCGGGCCGGTTTCTTGGGAGCGTGAAGTATGGCTTCAACTGTAACCCCAGTAAGGTAGGGCTGGTGCAGTTTCCTTCATCTCCGTCTCTGACGGTGACAGATGGGAATGTAGGCATAGCTGATTGCTGACATAAACACCCAGCTCTACAGTAAATAGTAAACAGAAGTCCTTATTCTATTTTCCATGTATATATGAAATTCGAAGGCTTTAAAGGCCAAGGAGATTCTGACTTCTCCTTCCCCGCCAAAAAAAAAAAAATTGAACCTTACAACGAGGCCGGGGGAGGGTCGCTTTATAAAATCCCAGTTCAAGCAAACATACATCATCTTCATCCCAATAAAGCGAGGTGCACAGAGTTCTCCAAACGTCAATCTCCCTAGGGAGAGAGAAGGAAGATGGGGGAAGTCTTGAATGTGTTGATTTGCGGCCAGCAAACTCCTTGTGAATGGAAATAGTAATCTTGAGTCATCTGGCTGTGTAAGTAATAAGAGCTTGCCAGCGTGTGACAATGCAGTTCGATTTAAAGGAAGTTTTGGGGAGTTTGTGTTTTGTTAAAAGATGTTATCTTAAAACAAAAACTAGCCCCCTGCCTTCCTTAAATTGTGAGGTAGAACATTTGATTTGTTCTGCCCTGCACTGAGAGCATTATAGAGTCTTGATAGATTGCAGCTGATAAAAGACAGGAAGTCAAACCAAGTGGGGAGCAGAGGAGGGTGGAGAACAGTCAAGAAAGTGATTATGAGTTAAAGTGCAAGGATGTTGGGTACTGGTGACTCTATTACAGACATCACTAAGAATGAGCTCAGACAGGAAAAGTTAGACTTTCATCACTTCCTCAGATTAGTTAGGGGAAAGTTATCACCAGCTATGAATGAAAAGACAAACGCAACCAACCCATTGAAATAGTTTGAGTTCTAGTTTCTCCCTAGTCAGTAGAGATTAACTAGTCATTAACTTAATAAACCTTTATACTAACGTTAATATCTACCTATTATTTGTTTGGGTAATGCTGTTTCAAATATTTGTATGTCTATGTTTTACTTCCCCAACTCTCTCACTTTTAAAAAAGATTAGCTTCAGGGCCCTCCATGGTGGTGCAGCGGGTTAAAGCAGCTCATTATGAAGCTCTCCAAAGCCACTGCAGAACCAGTTTGATCCCTAGCCAGGGAGATGACCCACATGGTATGGGAGACATCTCCTGACCCACCGGCAGTTCACCTCAGCAGTGTATTTCAGTACATCTGCCTGTTCTGCTCCCCACTCTGTCTCTGGTGAATCCTCTCACTCACCACACTCTGGCCTGTACCCCAGTTCTGTAAGCATAAATAATAAATAAATCTTTAAAAAAAAAAATTAGCGGGCCCTCCCTGGTGGCGCAGCAGGTTAAAGCACAGCACTAAGAAGCTTAAGCGCATTCTGCATGAGTTTGATCCCGGCCTGCCCTGGAGGAGATCCACATGGTGCGGCAGACCTCTTCTGACCTGCTGGCTGCTCCCCTCAGCAGTGTATTTCATTGATCTGCCTGTTCTGCTCCCCACTCTGTCTCTGGTGAATCCTCTCACCCTCTGCATCTCTGGCTTGTACCCCAGTTCTGTATGAATAAATAAATAAATCTTTTAAAAAATTAGCTTCAGCTTAAATACTATATGTGTACACAGTACAGTAGTTAACTGTTTTTTAAATGAGATATTATGTGTTGTGCAATATAGCTTCCATTTTAAAAAAGAAATCAGGATAATGGTTACTTTTTATTGGGTAGTAACTGGTTACTTCTCTGTGTTTAGTTAGAAATATATATACTTAAGTTTTGCAGTTTGAAAAATAAATAAATCAGAGATCGATCAAGTAAATACTAATATGTAGATATGTCTAAAGTGGGAAAAAGCATGTCGACATGAACCTACTTGTGGAAAAAATATACATACATATGCTTCTATATGCTTATAACATTTCTGGGAGAAAAGAACAAAAACTGTTAGGTATGTGTGTTTCCTTTGCACTTGATACTTTCTAGTTTAAATGTCTACCTAAAAATGCAATACTTTTATAACAAAAAAATACTTATTAAAACGTTTACTTCCTTTTCTCTATATAGCAGTCTAAAACTTTAATTTTTCCACTTGTAAAAAATTTCACCTAATTAAAACAGTGTGTCAGTAGAAAATTATTAGTAGTGGAGGGGAAAAAATCACCACAATTAGAATAACCAACCTTCCATTAGATACTTACCAGTTTCCTTTGTTAGTTTTGATTTTAAAAGGTTAATTTTGAAAAAAATAAAAAGAAACTGTTACAAAGAAGGAAAAGTTTTAACTGGATGCTTCTAAGATATGTATACTTACAGGATCAGCTCTTAATACCAGTATTTGTTTCATGTTTGCCTTCATCTTAGATTGAAAGTTCCCTAAGGGCAGGAACACGGATATGAAAAGCACAATGATTTTGAACATAAAATATTTGTCAAATGAATGTAGAATGCATTGCTGCCATTGAGAAGTGACTAAACTCAGAAACAAAGATGACTATCACTATTCAGCATCTGTGGCATAGATATATTCCATGAAAGGATAGATCTATGCCATTTCTCTATCCAAATTTCTGGTTTACAAGCTTACAGTTTTACCTGGTCTGAATTAAAGGTACAATATTTGACTATAATCAAAAGTGCATACCTAGGAGCTGAGCCCAGCATGGGTGTACTTCAATCATTTAATCAATTAAAACATTTATTGTGTATTAGACCTGAAATAGTAGCAACACTGGCTGGGAGATTAAGGATTTATGGATTCTAGTCCCTATTCTATCACTGTGTTGTCTGACTGCATAACACAGTAAATGACTTAACCACTTCCTTATCTATACATGACCTACAAGGTTAGTAATAGCTACAAAATTCGAGCTTGAATGGTAAAAGTTTTGTTCTCCCAGCTTCTGTATTAAAAGGTAAATACATTAACAGAAAATTATATACAAATAAGATGGAGATAAAGATCACTACCAAAAATTAAATGCAAGCTACATTATTTCTAGTCACTTTATAACATGTACTTTGGCTATAAATGCATTTTGTGCTATAAGAAAAATAGCAGGCAATCAATTTGAAGAGAATGAATCCTAATCTAAATTGGATAAAATATAGAGGATTTAATTAGGGCCTAAGGTGCCCCCAAAGCAGAAGCAGATATTCTGCTCTTTAATAGTGTAAAAGGATTTTATCAGAAAAATTAAATCCATGACATAAGGATGCCAAAGATATATAGAGTTGCAAAGTGAAATTAAAAAGAAAAAAATACATGTTTGTTAATGTATAATTTTAGACTTTAGCCAAAGATAGTTAAAGTTTAAGGATGCAATTATAAAAGTGGTAGAAATTTACATCATTAAGTATCCTCTTGGAACTATAAAAAAATTACCCTAGTTAATTATTTTTAGGATTAAATGTTAGCCTCCTTTTTGGAACTCTTCCAGAAACTAAAATAGTATAAGATTAAATCATCTATACCAAGTTCCAAGAGTCATCAGTGAAACTGGTATCCAAAATTCTTGCCACTGACTTTTACATTCCAACTGTAGGATAATATCCAGTTTTAAGGCTTCCTTCCATTTGTTTTAACAAGGAACAAATTAAAATCAAATAGGGGAAGAAAACAGGAAATTGCAGAAACTAGTGTATTTATCCTGCTTGGGCTCATCACTCTTAATTTGAACCACTTCAACATATTTATTTGATTATTTTATATTTGCCTGATTGTTTCATAGCAAATTTTTCAACATATATTTCAAGAGCCCCAAGTAAATTGATTTACTTGCAAATGACTACAGGTCGAGAACAAAGAAGTTACAGAAATAATAAATAAAGTAGCTGCATAGAAATATTGGTAAATTCTCTTTCCTATTACACTATGTGTAAGTATTATAATTGCTTATCATTTGTTATAATAGAAATTTATATAAGAAAATATTGACCACTGTTTCTAAGATACAATTCTCTTAATTATACTGTTTAGTTTATTTTTGTATTAAGAGAGTTGAAAGAACTGGTCAAATTCAAAAAGATTAATGGAATGATCAAAAC